AACTGGGACCCTCCAAGAAGTGATCTTTGGCAAAAGGATCCCCGGCGGGGGGGGGGGAATACAAAACCCAACCCTTGATTCCCAGTGCGTAACGGCCCGCGCATTCTAGACAATGGCATCACCCCGAGTTTGCGCTTTCGTGCGCCCTGGGCGCAAAAACGCAACCCAAAGGAACCGCCGGAGCGCGAAGCTTACAAGCTAGCTTGGAACCAGTTGATTTCCCCCCTCCCCACCTTTTTTCCCCCCAAGCAAGGTTCAAGAAGTTCAGCCGCCGCCCCCCCTCCCGGGATTTCAGAGCCCCGCTCTTTTCCCCCTAAATAGATCTTTTGGAACCGGAGAGATTTTTTGAAAGAAAAAAAATAATCCAGAGGGCTGAGAAGTTGGCAGCCTCGCGGCGCGCCTAGGTTGACAGGCCGCGGGAGGCGATTTGGGGAAGGGGGGGGGAGAAGAAGAGAAGCAGTTCGAGGCCTAAGGAGCGGAGGAGGGAGATGATGAGGGACACTCCTGAGCAGGAAAGTGGGGTGAACTCGGCAGGCGCGTTCACAGAGGGTGTGTGTGAAGGCTTTAACGTGGGGGCGCCCCGGCTCAGATCTGGTGGCGGAAAGGGACAGAAGGGGAGAGGGACAGACTGGGCCAGCCAGAGTAGATCCGGAGCAATTGCTACTTGGTCAGCTTTCTTGCCAACCCCATCGATGTCAATGGGTCTCCTCTAGTGGAACTCGCTCGTGCGTTTTGGGCCTGAGCGCTATTTAATAGGGGTGCTTTACGGGGTCCCTCTTACGCCTCTCCAAACGCAACCCGGTCCCTCAACGCCGGCTCTCCCTCCCGGCTCCGAAGGACGATCCGCTTCGCTTTAAAGGGCGCAGGGCGAATAAAACCAGGCGCGCGTGTGAATGGAGACGGGCGTGCGCGCTTCCACGCATCAGCTCCTTAGCTAGCCTCTTCGCGCGCCTTGCCAGGGGACCAAACGGGCTGGTTTGTGCCCCAGACAAGAATTTGGGTGGGAGTTCAAGAGACCACCTTTTTGGGATGGGGGAGGAGAGGAGAGGGGGCCTGGCGGCGCCCTCCCCACGCCGGCCCCATGCCTCTTCTCCCTAGAGTGCACCCCGGATTTTTTGGGGGGACACCTCCCTTAGCACCCCGCCGAGCAAGTGCTCCTGATCACGCCCTCTGGAGACCCACACCCGGCACCTCCCCACCCCCACATACCTTCAGAACATCCCTGTGTAGGGCAGAGGACTTGGGGAAACCGGAGTAAGGGGGGGGAAACGGGAAAGGCCGGACATCGGGAGGGGGGGGTCCCTTGCCCAGAAGGACGCGTCCACCTACCGCAGAACGTGGAGCCGGCCTTCAGCCGCTTAGTGGTTTGGGGTGAGGCGCGTTCTCGGGGCGCAGCATTCCTTGTCCACCTGGGTTGGACACTTTGGGCCAAGGGGAGAGATGTCACCAAGCCCACACCGCTCCCCCCCCGTCTCCTCCTTTCCACTTCCTAAAGTCAGCCTGTCTTTCCCCTCCCCCCCCGTTTTACAATTGCTGGCCCCAAACGCCAGCCCTCTCTCTCCCCCCCATCTTTTCCTGTCTCCTTTCCACCTCCCCAAATCTGTCTGTCTGTCTTTCCCTCTCCCCCC